ACTCCGTGCTGATGTTCTCCGTGATGCCATAAACGCCCTGGAACTTTTGCCTGTGGTGCCTACGAGGAAGCTGCACAGTCCTGTGATAGATGCCAGGAAGGCTTCAGAGCACACAGACCAAGATGGATTTGCATACTGCGCACACGCTCCTGCCTGTTAAAAATATTTAGGCGTATTTATCTCAATAGCTTTGAAAGTAAAGGAGGTCAGAGCAGTGAGCTATGTACTGGTTTATTTAAGTAGAGCATTTTATTTTTATGGGGAAAGTTATCTTCAAGTAGCTGAACAGAAGCTTGGAAAAAGCGTTTTCAGAAACCATAATTTTTGGCTACATGTTTTCTAGCGTCCTTCCCCACCCCCAGTGTAATAGAAAAGCAACATCTTTATAATTGGCACTCGACATGCTGTTTGCGTTGGGCTGTGGCACACCAAGCACAGATTTCCTGTTGATGGAAACATTTATCATCGTGACTGCCCCAGAGTGGCAGGTGGTGTTATCAATTACCTCTTCTTACCAATAATAATATTAGTATGGTAATATCTTTGCTCAAGTGAGAACCAATTAGCGATCACTTGTCACAGCATTAAAGACACAAAATCATGCTGGATTTAACCCTAAGAACCAACAACAAAAGTTGGGGGTGGGGGTAGAATCAGAGAGAGAGAGGTGGCCAGTGAGTAGATGAAAGGAATTTGGGGAGGAAAAAAGAATGAAAGGGGACCGAAAATGAAAGTCCTAATACGTGAATGCTTTTTTTGTAGTAAGTGGTTGGGGAAATAAACACTTGTAAACAAAGTGTCAAATGCACCTTATGTAAAACTGTCTTTCATGGCTCTAGAGCCAGGTAGCTTCAATAAACTGTGACTGCAATATTAAATTAGAACCAACTATTGAAGCTCCGCTTTCAAATCAATCTTGCAGATAGGCTTTCAGCTTTATCTGAATAAATGATACAAATTAAATCAAACGCCTAATTATATGTTTCACTAATGCAAAATATACAGTATTAATTTGTAATATTATTAAGCAGACAAAATAATAATGTGTCGCCTCTTAAGATAAAACATTGCAAGAGGAAAAACAATTAACTAATTAGATTTAATGATAGGGAAGAAAAGCAACTTTTGTTATTGCAATAGTGTTTCGATATTGCAATATTTTAATAGACGCCGGTCATGTGACGGCGAGTGTGCGCCTGCCGCACGCCTGGCTCAGTGTCTGCACCTCCTAAATCCGTTCCCGAGCGTCCCTTTAATCTGGGCACAGCGAGCGCCACATCCCGTCCCTCATCTGTGGGAATGTTCGGTCCACACGCTGTCACTTCGCCATAAATCCACTGTTGCCACTCAGACTTCGATGCAAACGCCTTCATTAAAACTTGCCACACTGAATAAGAACAATTAAAGAAAAGTTTCCGCTCTGCGTGTAGGGAAGTGGGAAAGGGAAGGGAACAAGTGGGTCACGAAGTAACGTGCCTTTTGTTTTCGACCTTTACTTTTTAAGAACTTGATCTTTGTTCGCCCAAGTCATTTTGCAAAAGGGGCGCGCCGCAGGCGTTACGCGTGCACCGTTTCAGCAGTGGCGGGAACGTGCCCAGGGTCCCGGGCCCCTTCCCCAAGTCCGAGCTCGGTCCTCTCCACGAGGCCCCGCGCAGCCCCGCGCCGTGTCCCATCGCGCGTCGCACCCCGACTCGCCAACACGTCTGCTCTGAGGCCTCGCTTCCTCCAGATGAAGGCCGGGCTCTCACGGTCCTCCTCACTGGAGGGACTCGGAAGAACCTTCCCAACGTCCACACCTTGCACAAAATGCGAAGCAAGTCCACGAAGTTTAACACTTGCGTTTGGAAGCCCCAGGAAATCTGGCGGGTCTGTCGGAGAGAGGGTGGCGCGCGGGGAGCGCGCGGGGCGACCGAGGAGGGGTCGGCGCCGGCCCGGAGGCTGCAGGGTCGAGCCGGCTCCAGACGTGCTCGGACGGGCCGTGGGAACCTGCGTGTGCGCCGCTTCTCCTCCAGGTGTGTCGACAGAAAAAGGAACGAACAGGAGAGGGAATTACCCGGGTCGTCACAGATGGTGCTCAGAGCCACGGGCGACCGTCCCTGCGTTCCCTCTCCTCCGAAAGCCGCGCTGCCCGCTGCCTCCGCCGGCTCGGCGACTTCCCCGAACTCTGGTCCTGCAGAGGCTGCGACAAACTTCCATTCCCCGCGGCCGCCCGCCTTCTCCCTGCCCGTTTTCCGGCGAAGACCCGCGCACCCGCTCGCCCCAGCGCCGCGACTGGGAACTTGTCGCCGCCGGGCGCTCAGGCCGCTCAAGAGCGTCCCCCGAATGCCTGCGGCGTCTGCAAAGTTCGCGGCGCGCTTGCGGGGAAAAGACCTTCCCCCTCGCAGCTTAACCGTGAGGACGCTACCGACGTGTGTGTTAAACGGGACAAGTCTAGATTTCAAACATCTTTTATTGGCCTTTTTTCTTTAAAAAAAAAAATCACTCAAACGAATACTCCCGCCACCAAAAGGTAAAATAAAACCAACCTTAAGGAATTTTTTTTTTAAGTGGCGATGGGGGCTCTTTGGAGATGCCTCCAACCCGCGCTCCGTCCTCTGTAGGTTTTCCGGCGTTTCGCCCGCAGCCCAGAGCTGTTGCTTCGTGAAACTTACACGGTCAGAGGCGGGCGGGAGAACGCGGGCGGGGAGCCGGAAGATTCTAGAATGCAAAAAGCAGCCCGCGGAGAGCAGGGCGCGCGGCGCCGGGCCGGGGTCCGCT